GGGGGGGGGGGGGGGGGGGGTGCTCCAATGCAGTTGCGGTAAGGGCTACATTCAGCATTACTGCACCGATACAATAGGGGCGGCTGTGGGAGCTGGCACCTTTTCGTTCAGTATCACTCTCACACTAAAGCTCATCGAACAACTACTGTCTATGATATGATATGAAGTGCATATATATATATGTGGTCTTAAACAATACTACATAACAATATACAGTTACTTACACACACTAGTATGGTATGTGATATTAAAGCATATGATATTATGCAATATATAATATTGAATTGCTCTGTATATATAATATTGTGCAACATTATAAAACTGACATTATTCAATATCATAAAAGAGTACATGGTATCATATAATGCAATATAATATCATATAACATTATATAATGTTATATAAGTTTCTACAATAGTATTGTAGATGAACTTGTAGTATACACTATTAACAGGGCGGCTCATGCAGGATGTTGAAGCTCGACCGTGACATGACGGTCCTTGTATGTTCCTCGGGCCCGTTCCTCGACATACACACTTGGCTGAACTTGCACAGGCATGTTAGGGTTCAGGGTTTAGGGTTTAGGGCTTAGACATGTATGATCCGAGATGTTACCCTCTCATAGACACACACACACACATGATGTTTCGGGACCTTTTACACGACGAAGCTTCTTTGCAATCCGATGAGCCTCGTGACTACTGGGAATTTAAGGAATTGCTTTCGAATGCCTCTGAATATCTGTAGTGGGCAGGAACTGCCGATCAGGTTGCATAAAGTTTCTGCAGCAGGGTTACACTGCACAAAAATAGCGAGCTTTAGAATGCACATCTCCCATCAGCAACAAAAGCCGGCATGTCAACCTATACTCTAGTCCCTGGCGTCCTCAAATTTTTCATCCTTATATCGTCCGGAACGACTAGCAACTTGCAGCAACCGAAGCAGCATGAAACCTACAGTGAACAAAATGACCCAGTTGCAACGGCGATGTGCCGTCCCTGGCGCGGGTGTTGGGATCCACTGGCCTCGGCATGTCGAATACAGGGGCCTTAATAATTAGAAGAGGGTTTTGGGGCCCATTATACTATAATTATAATACCCTAAACCCCAAACCCCAAACCCTAAACCCTTAACCCTAACCCTAAACCCTAAACCATAGCATGGGTAATTATTTTATGATTGCCGGGATCTCCATGGCCATGCCCTCGACCCACCCTTTTCCTCACTGCCATGAGAATCAGCACAAACCCGAAGAGCCCAATACCCCTTAAATAAGGAATATACCTTAAATTATAGGGGCCGTACTATTACAATTTAAGGTATAGTATATTCCTTAATTAAGGGTGATTGGGCTCTCTGGGAAGGCATGATAGGACTCATTGTCACTACCATCAGCAGCAGCAGCACTACAACCACCACAAGCACCTGCACCATTACCCAAGGCATCATCACCCATCAGCATTGCCGCCCATCATTACTCAAAGTCGTCATCACTATCACCACCATGATTGGGAAACATTTCTCACAATGACTAGACAGGCAATGCCCGGGATATGTTTGGCTCTTGCTTGGTATGACAAACCTCTTGCGCTCTGGCAAATTACAAGAGCCGCAAAGTTTATGGCCCTAAACGCCTAAACCCAAAAACCCTAAAACCATAAACCCCTAAACCCTAAACCCTAAAACCCTAAAGCCCTAAACCCCTAAAGCCAGCGGAACGTTGTATTGCAAAAAACGCATCCGAGTGGCCTCTGCAGGAGCAGCTCCAGCTGGTCCTGGTCCTGTTGCGCAAGGGCCTGTGCCACGTCGTTGCGTTCGCTGTCCTGAAATGGCTCAGAGCTTCAGGCCCTAAGCCCTAAGCCCTAAACCCTATAAACCCTTAGTGTCCGTGTCTGTCTCCTTTAAAGCACTCCTGAAGTTGCAGGAAGGGCAGGATCACAAGCTGCAGGGACATGGGAAGTGCCAGCTGTTCGGTATCCTCGGTAGACCAATCGCGGGGGCTCCGGATGTGTAGATGGTAGGTTTAGGGTTTAGAGTTTAGGGTTACATGTGACCCCACACTGGTTCTATCTTCAGTGCTGCATGGCGACAACGACCAGAAGTATCTTCGAAAAAGCGCAGGGTATGAGACCTGTTTGCTGCGAAGAACACTAGAATTTCCAAAGCCAGCCAAGCATCTTCCACCACCCGGGCCTCCTGCAGCAAACGCTGCCTGAATCGTGGAATACCCACGAGTCCCTGCAGATGCCTGCGTTGTTCTGAGGACTGCTGCACACAAACTACTGCAGGAGGTTCGTGCAACAAGAACATGACGGACATTGACATATTCTGCTAACCACAAAGAGACGATCAACGTGACAGCTTAGTATATATATATATATATATAGCTCTCTCTGTCTCTCTCCGGTTCGTTCTCTCTCTCTCTCTCTCTCTCTCTCGCTCTTCTTCTTCCACAGGGCTTGGGGGACTGGCTAGATCCCCGGCCGCATCTCAGTCTTTCTCTCTCTGGCTGTCTCTCGCTCTCCCTCTCCAGATCTCTCTCCCTCGCCTCGCTCTCTCCCTTGTCCTCTTTTCCTCTGTCTCTCCATACAGACCCGAGACGCCTCTTCAGAGCTCTTGCAGAGTTTCCATGCTCAGCCACCAGCGCCTCGAAAGCGTTGGGTGCAAGCTCCCAGGTCTCGCCCGAAAGGGAGCGAACTTCCAGCATCTCCTGATCATCGGGCACCGCGAGCCGCTGAGCCCTCCTGCCTAAGACCGCCAATGCCTGGGGAATCTACGTGCTGGGTTCCGAGGAGGAGTTCCAAGTCGCCGTCGTCCCTTATTAGTTTAGGGTTTAGGGTACCGTATGGACGAACAAGCATATACATAACTGAGAACCCTGAACACTTGAATCGACACCCTGAACCACAAATGCTGACACTGGCTGCGAGCCTGTCGGAATGAGTCTCTTTGAGACGTTGCCCATCCCAGATCACAGGTATGGTTTCAAATCTTCTGAAGCCCTGAACCCCAAACCCTAGACCCAAAGCCCTAGACCCTTAAACGAATAGGGCTTTGGGGTTCCTTTAAAGGGCTCCGTAAAGGGTTGTATGAGGGCTATTAAAAGGGTTGAGAGTATAGGGGCCGTAATAATCAGAATAGGGGTTCTGAGGCCCACTATACTATACTTATAACGGGCCTCCAAAATAGGGTTAGTCGTTATTGAGGCCCCCTACATTAACCTCCCCTGAGGGTCCATGTGCCCAAATAGTATATACATGGGCCCCAAAGTACTTATGTAGGGACTACTTTAAGGCCAAAGTATAATATCCATTTTGAGTACATGGACCCTAAACCCTACAGAACCCTTATAGAACCCTTAAAGGAGCCCTTGAAGGAACCCTTAAAGGAACCCTTAAGGGAACCCTTAAAGGAACCCTTAAACGAACCCTTGAAGGAGCCCTTAAAGGAACCCTTAAAGGAACCCTTCAAGGAACCCTTATATCTATTTGGGGGTTTCCGAAAATAGGGGACCCTAATATAGCACCCTAAATAATAGGATCCTGATTATAAAGACCCCAAAATAAGGTACCCCTAATGTTCGGAAAATCCCATTTGGGTACATGGACCCTTGGCGCTCTATAGAGCCCAGAACCTTCGACCTGATTCAGCCCAAGGCTCTGGTCACGGTTTAGGGTTTAGGGCTTAGGGTTTAGGGTTTTAGGGTTTTAGGGTTTAGGGTTTAGGGTTTAAGGTTTGAGGGTTTAGGCCTTAGGGTTTAGGGTTTTAGGGTTTTAGGGTTTAGGGTTTAGGGTTTCATTCTATGCGTCTAGGTCAGAGAGCCCAATACAGCACGCCTTAAATAAGGAATAGACCTTAAATCATAGGGGCCTTCATATTATGATTTCAGGTATAATAAGGAATAGACCTTAAATTATAGGTGCCGTAATTTTCTGATTTCAGGTTTATTCCTTAATTAAGGGGTATTGGGCTCTCTGGGTCTAGTTCAGAGCCATGCTTAAACCTCATTCTGGCACCTAGGGCCCCACCGATAACAGTGGTATGAGTACTTGCAGGGATAAGAACAAGACCACGAACAACAACATGCAACGACCACCACCACCACCACCACCACCACCACCACCACCACCACCACCAAAACAACAACAGCGACAAAGGCAAGAACGACGCGAAGAGCGATATAAGTTAGATCAACGGTAGCAACTACGCTTATTGTCACAGTGATGCCTATTTCCGTGTTACCACCCATGAGAACTGGAAATGGTGTGCATCGGCCATATTCGTGTGTGCACGTGTACGTAAGTAAGTAAGTAAGTAAGTAAGTAAGTAAGTAAGTAAGTAAGCAAGTAAGTAAGTAAGTACGTAAGTACGTAAGTACGTAAGTACGTGAGTACGTAAGTAAGCAAGTAAGTAAGTAAGTAGGTAAGTAAGTAGGTAAGTAGGTAACTGAGTAAGTGGGTAAGTAAGTCAGTCAGTAAACAAGTAAGCAAGTTTTTAACGAAGCCAGTGAGTAGTTGAGTAAGTGAGCCAGCAAGTGAGTGAGTAAGCATAATATGCGTATGTATGTGTATATATATATATATACTGTGTATGTGTGTGAAAATAAAAGTAAACAGCCACATACAAAAATGAACACATGTGTATATATATATATATATGTGTGTGTATGGATTACCATGTATGTGTTGTGTTTTGTACACTGTGCATTCTCGTATTTTAGCATCGAGGTATATGCGACACATGAGTATGAGATGTGATGCGAAAATCGAACAGTACATGATAGCATGCCGCATCTTTCAAGAACATGCGTAGCGTGTACTTCTACGGGCATAGCGAGAAGCCGAGACAGATTCCCGGTCGAGGCGATCGAGCCAGAGAGACTACAGCGTCCGCGAGCTTCTGACACTCAAACTCAAACCATCCGTATAGTTTAGGGTTTAGGGTTCAGGGTTTAGGGTTTAGGGTTTAGGGTTTAGGGTTTAGGGTTTAGGGTACAGGGTTTAGGGTTTAGGGTACAGGCTTTAGGGTTTAGGGTACAGGGTTTAGGGTTTAGGGTTCATGCCGTTTGAAAGCATTCGGAAGACGAAAATCACACACCCGCACTCGGACCTGCCTTTTCGGTTCAGGCCTTATAATGTAGGGGCCTTAATAATTAGAATAGGGTTTTGGCGTATATATTCTGTAATTATAGTAAGGAACCCCCAAAATAGAATTGGTAATTATTTAGGCCCCTATATTGCCTTGCTACTTAGTTGCCAAAACGATCACCATGACTGCTGGACACATGTCACTGACGTTGTCTCGTACTAGTGTTTGTCGCATAGCCACTCTGCCTACGTGTCACTACTCTTCCGCCTTTGAAAACAGCACTTCCCTTACTTCCTTTGAAGACACTACTTCCCTTATGTGTGTCAGCCGGAAATCGTTGGGGGTTCTGGTCTACTTGGAGGATCATGGGACTTAGTAAGTACGGTTATAAGCACCCTAATTGGGGTTATAATTATAGTTACCTTATTTATAACCCTAGTTACTAAGTCCCATGATCCTCCAAGTAGAGTAGTTTAATTTGGGAAGAGTCCCGGAGCCAGGAAAGCGGCATAGCGCTGCAGCTCCCGAAGCTCGCTTTCCATCCTGCTGCCGTCGGAAGCTCGAACGAAGCTCTTCAATCCAACACCCCACGCCGCAAAAATCGAGCACCAAGCCTCTCAACAAGCCTCAAGAACACCAGCTCAACACTCCAACATGCATGCCATCAACTTCGAACTACACGCTTCACACATCCACCTCTGGCTCAGGAAGTTCAGCGAAGGGTCTGCGGGTGAGCCCTTACTTGACCCACGGGGATCTAAGATCTGCAGAAATTGTGCTTCAAAGCAGCAGGAAAGCTCCGTCATCAGAACACTGCCGGGTTAGACTCGCATGCTCAGATCCGTACTTCTCTGCAAAGAAAGAGGTTGATGTATAGTGCGCACGTTAACCGCAAACCCTTACTCACTGCATGGCTGAGCGCACAATACCCTTCGCCAAAACCGAAATCCGAAACTTCCGAAGCACATATTCCAACTAGCCCAGGCTGCATACATGAGAAAGAGATCCTGAAGTGGTGCTGCCTTATGGCCCCGAGCCTAGGAAGCCCAACCCGGCGAGCCCCAAGCCTCATGCACTCAAGTTGTGTCTCATGCTGGCTGCAAAGGCATGAGGCAAGAAAAAGACACCGATGTCCTCGCGTGGTTGTCCGACAAAGGGTCCGTCCTCCGCAAACTCCGGTAGATGCAAGAAGTTTTGGACAGCAACCCCTAAACCCTAAACCCCAACCAACAAGAACAAACCAAGCCTGCGACATGCTGGACACTGACATTGAAAAGAAACAAGCGCATTGCAGCCAAACCTCATCATGATGCGTCCTCTTGAACATGACCTACCAACAACAAGGATGCAAGCCAACCAAAACAAAGGGCTGCTTCCTCAGAAAGCCCAATACCCCTCAGATAAGGAATAGACCTTAAAGTACAGGGGCCTTAATAACAAGGTATTAAGGAGTAAGTTGGGCCCTCTGGGTTCTTTTGACGTACACAGATGGGCCTCTTGGTGCTTTCTTTCGGGCCATCATATGGGCAGTTCTCCAAAGTAGGGTCCCTTTTAGGTCCCCAATATAGTACGGCACCATTATAATCCCCTAAACCCTAAACCCTAAACCCTAAACCCTAAACCCTAAACCCAGGACCCTAAAAGGGGCCCTAATTCAGAGAACCACCCATCTAGAGCCCTTATAGCACGCTTATAGAGACCTTATAGGAACCCTTACAGATCACCCTAAACCCTAAACCCTAAACCCTAAACCCTAAACCCTAAACCCTTTAATGAACCCTAAATGGGACCCTACGAACACAGGGGACCTCAAGTTCGGCTTGAGGGCTTGGCAAGACGAAAAAAAACCCAAACCCGAAACCCTAGAGTTGGTTAAAGGAATCTACAGGTGGGGAGTTTAGGGTATATAGGGTTTAGGGTTTAGGGTTTAGGGTTTAGGGTTTAGTAAATTATAGAGACCTTCTATAAGGCTCCTGTGACGATAACTACCCACCTGAAAAATGTCCTAGACTTGGCCCTACCTATATAGGATCCAGCGTAGTGGCGTAGTTCCTTTTCGGGATTACCTTGTAGGACCTGAATATAAACCGCAAAAAAGAACTACGATGGAGTCGATAGGTAAACCCTAAAACCTCCACCGAAAGGCCTAGACCACCCTAAACCGCAGTAGCCTAAAATTGAATCCTACGCCCATCCTAAACAGTAGTATAGCCTAACACTGAGTCCTAAACCCTAAACCCAAAACCCGAATCCTAAACCGGCTGGTTGCTGTATTGACTCCGTGGATGCCGGAAGAAGGGCCCTGCGGCTTCGTTGAGCTTCGGAATGGTTTAGGGGGTGGCGGATTCCTTCGGGATTCGACTCCTGCGCTTCCCCCAAAACAGCTACTACCTGTAGTCTCCATTGTAGTTCCGTTTGGGGGATACCTTATAAAATCCTTAAGTTCATAATTGGTTAAACCAAAAAAAGGAACTACAATGGGGACTATAAGTAAGATCCTACTATATTGGTACTAGGACCCTGAACCCTAAACCCTAAACCGGTGTTGCTTGGACCCTTTGGGTAACTTCCCAGAGAGCCCAATACCCCTTAATTAAGGAATATACCTTAAACCATAGTATTAAGGCCCTATAATTTAAGCTATATTCCTTATTTAAGGGGTATACCCTAAACCCTAAACCCTAAACCCTAAACCCTATAATTTAAGAAATATTCCTTAAGGGGTATAGGGCCCTCTGGGCTTGGGAACTCTGGGAGCCAGGCCGTGCCGCTGAGATCCAGAAACAGGTTGTCCGGTTTCAGGTTTCGGTGGATCAGCCCCTGCGGTTAGGGTTTAGGGTTTAGGGTTTAGGGTTTAGGGTTTAGGGTTTAGGGTTTAGGGTTTAGGCCGTTGATGGGCATTCAAGGCTTCATGTGCCTATATAGTATATAATTGAGTATGCTTTGTCCTTCGAGTAGTCCCTTTTGCAGGTACTTTTAAGACCAAAGTAGCCTAAGTACACACTACGTTGGTACATGGAGCCTGAGGAAACTTTCAAGGCTTCATGGGATGCGACTTGCTTATGCTGTCCTCAAAGGAAAATCGAGTGGATGTGATGACTCGCTCCCGACGGAGTCCCAAGGATTCGGTGTATGCCAATGCGGCTAAGGGTTTAGGGTAGGGTGCAAAAAGGAGCTTGGGTCCTGTGTTTCAAAGTTTAGGGTAATCTCGGGGCTTTAAGAATTAGAATTGGGTTATGGGGACTAGTCTACTATACTTATAATAAGGAACCTCCAAAATAGTATAGGTAATAATTAAGGCCCCTAGATTAACTGTTTGGGTCTCAAGGGTCTCTAGGGTTAAGGCTCCAAGGTTTAGGTTCTGTTTCCTGCTTGGGGTGTTCTGGATTTTGGTTTTTCCCGTCTCGGAAACCCGAAACTCAAACATCCCCTCCCCCCGCCGCTTCCACTTCATCAATTTAAGGCTGCATCTAACCCTGAAGCCATCCTTCAGGCTTGGGGCTCTAAACCCTAAACCCTGAACCCACCTAGGATTCAGGGTGTTCCTGCAAATCCGCTATCCACGACACCCGAGAACTCAAACTCCTGTACCCAGAACTCTGGGTTTAGGGTTTAGGGGTTTAGGGGTTTAGAGTTCCCGGATTAATGCACCACTCTCCCTCGGTCAAGATTCTCACTATAATCGGCATCCTGGTCTGAGGGTTTTGGGGCCCACCATGCTATAGTTAGCATAAGGACCCCCCCAAAAAAAAGTCATGGGAATTGTTTAAGCCCCTACATTAATTGTTGAACCACGATCCTGGAACCCAATAGCTTGTGCGCGTCGCAAAGGTTCAGCTCCACACCCAGGGCATGCAGACACACAAAGCCATGAACCCCTAATGATTAGGCCCTAAGGTTAAATTGCAACATGCAACTGGGGTGTGCCTTACCATACTTTGTGGATCTCAACCCTGCGTAAACTGTGTCAACCCCTTACCCTTAAACCCTAAACACCTAAATACCTAAACCCTGAACCCTCACTCTTACAACGCTGCATGGCTCTATGACATGTCTCCATCCTGGTGATGCACATAGCTCAAGCCCAAGAGCATCTGCTTGAACTTTTGCCTGTGCCACTGGCACTGCAAATCTTGGTTTAACGACTCCTTGTAGGGTTTAGGGTTTAGGGTTTAGGGGGTTTAGGCGGTTAGTGAGACCTGGCTCATGTTATACCCTATAAAGTCTGCCCTTCTTGCTTCAGGCACCCGAAGGACCTAGTATCCGTTCTATGAGGTGCTGTTGAACACGGCGGTTTGTTTAGCACAGGTCCAACCCTAAACCCTAAACCCTAAACCCTAAACCCTAAACCGTTTGTTTAGCACAGGTCCATATTAATCACCCTGATTTCTCACGCTGGGGACCTAAACATCAAAGTAGTTCAGTAGTTCAGGAACATAAATGCCTCTAAGTTTCAGGGGTTGGGATTCAGAACTGGGGCTTCTGGAGCTAAGAGCTAACTATGTTAAACGTTGAGGCGTTACTCGTCTGTGCTCCGTCGACAATGACGGTCTGAGGTACGGGAATGATGATTCAGGGTACCAGTTGTTGAGTTCCATGGCCGCCCAAAATACGTAACCATTGAATTCCGGTAAGGTGATATTAGCCGCGAAAAGGTAACATTTCCAGGTTGCCTACCCAGCTACTCATGTAAGTGAAAGGATCCACCACCTTCTTCTGTACGGAGTGCCAGAGAAAATCGCAAGGTTACCCCTAGACCCTAAACCCTTTTCTCAGGGGCTGAGTACCCTAGCCCGAAAAAGGTTAACCGTTTGAGTTATACTAGGATTATATACCTGTAGTTCCCTTTTGGGGTTACCTTTTAAAATCCTTAATATATACTTGGTTAAACCAAAAAAAGGAACTACAATGCAGACTATAGGTAAGCCCCAAAAGGTTAAAGGTTACCTACGCGGCCCCTAAGTTTCTGCATCCCTAAACTCTCAGCCCTTCTGAAAGTTGGCTTCAGAACGATTGCACGATTCTAGGGCAGGGCCCAGGGATTCACAGAGTCTTTGGGATGGTGAGTGATGCTGCGAGAGGATCTAATCATACCATAAAGATTACAGATAGGGTATGACCATTTCCACAGTCATACCGGCAGCGGGGGCGGGGTGTCACGGGGGGTGGTGGGGGGTGGTACGGGGGGCATGTTTTGGCGGTGGTGGTGGCTACTATGCTTCGACTGCAGTGAAGAGATTACCGTGACTGATGCTGGTACCCACGCGGATGTCGTGCCTTTGATGCCAGTAGCGTTCCCACTAGAGCGGCGCTGATCGTGATATTGATGATGCTGTTTGCTGACACTGCTGTAATTACTTGTGTCAAACTCTTTGAGGTCGTTGAACGAGACATGTGCTTTGCACTGCCGCTAGTTTCGCTGACCCTCGTCTGGCATGCATATCCCTCAGCTACAAACTCTCAACTTCAAAGCCAGTACGCTCCAAGTGCCAAACCCTAACATCCTGAAACTCCACATCCCTGTCTCTCTGAACATGAACATGTCAGCGGCCCCACCTGACATCCAGGACCCGCTCGAACTGTGAGCACACCTCCAGCCTTTCGAATGAGTTCGTTGCAGGTTCCACGCACTTCTAGTTGATAATGACGGTGCAACGCTTCGGCATCCATAGCCAACGCTGCTACATTAGCGATCTACCTCCATTTCAATCAATCTGGGACCCTTGATCAGCTGTCTGAAATACGGAAAGCGAAACAAGCGACATGGTAGACACCTGAGGGGCTGAGTATTCCAGCGTCAAAAAACAGATGAACCTTTGAGTCAAGGTGCGGTTCGCAGTACACATGTGTCTGCGTGTGTACGTCTATATATATATATATACATGTGTGTATATATATATATACAAGCATACGACTAATTACTGCTGGGACATCACTACACCAATGTAGATGTGTATAAGCATGAAAATAGAAAAACTGATAGATCAAGACATAAATTTCGATGCCGATACTCGACAAGGTGAACCTTTCGACTATTAAAAAAATTGGTGTATCTATATATATATATAT